CCCCACCGCCCTCTCGCGAGCTTCACGGCGGCCTACATGCTGGTCGGAGACGAGTTGCTGCCGGTTGGCGAGGCTGCCGTCCACTGACGGCCCGCTCTGGTGACGGCCCGCTCTGGTGACGGCCGCCGTATGATACCGACCCCTCGCTCTGATAAGCGCATGTGGATCTGCCCCCGGCTGACCCCGGGACGCACGGTATGGGGTTTGAGCTTCACGGGAGGAAAAAATGGAAAACAGTTTTCCTCAAACACTTCGGTGATATCTCTTTAAAAAATCAGGAAAATTCTTACATTTTTGACGAGACCTCCTCGAAATCTGAGGAGTGTTTCTCAAGCTATGGGACCTCCTCAATCTTTCCCTTTTTCCTAAGAAAAAAATGACACATTGTTTTTACCGTGTACCAGTCGTAAAGGCATGTATACGTATGACGATACACAACTATCTTTTTTTAAGTAAGCGCGCGTTCGTAAGATTTTCAGGTTCTCCACAGACATCTAGTTATTTTTGTCTAATTTCTAACAGTCTCCGGCGGAAGCAGCCCAAGCCGGTGATTGCGGTCTGTCCCGAGGCAGTCGGCCGCAACTCGAAATGCGTGATTGAATCCCACAAGGCGGCTCGGCGACGCAGGTGCGCCGGCCCTGTGGGCTACAGCCCCCCCCCCTTTGTCTCACACATACATAGAGAGCTCCCCCACCGCGCCCTTCTGCCCCTCCCACTTCCCTCAGCACGCTTACGATGCATGAGCTTTGGACTAGCGTTGGCGGCGTACCACCCCTAGCCCATAGCTACCTCCACTCTTCCCCTGCCCCCCCCCCACTCTTCCAGTACAAACAACACAGCTCGGTTTATTTAATATTTTGCCTTCCCACGGCGTACCATAACGGCATGCCAAAATAAATGAAAAAAAAAGAGAGAAAAAACAACAACAAACAAACCGTAATTCCGCGACTGTATTGTCCGTTGGCGTCAGCAGCGCCTCATCCTCACTCGCCATCTGCAACGCTGCGCGGTGTCGTGGTGGCGACGTGAAAAGGAATTCTTTAACGGCGAGAAGAAGATCTTGAAGAGCAAGAGCCAACCCGACCCGGCCGCGGGGGCCTCGGCGCGAGGCCTTCTCCTCGTAGTTGGAGGGGGCGTGGCGTGGCGTGGTGGGGTGGGGCGGGGCGTGGTGGGGTGTGGCGGGGCGTGGCGGGGCGTGGTCGGGCGGAATGCAGCGGCCAGTTTGTTGCCCGCCAACCCTCTGCTTAATAATCAATTTACATGGCTCTATACGGACAACAAGCGCTCCGTCTCGCTCACTCTCGCTTTTCCCCCTCCCCCACTCTCCCTCCTCCATCTCTCCCTCTCTCTCTCTCTCTCTCCCTCTCTCTCTCTCTCCCTCTCTCTCTCTCTCCCCTCCGCCTCCATCCATATCTCTCGCAGCACAGGCGCTCGCGTAGGCCAGACCGCTCAGCAGCAACGTGCACCCGGCTGCCTATCCCCGAGTCCCCGGGCGCTCTTCGCTAGAGCCAGAGAACGCCTCCAGCGCCCCCCCCCCCTCTCTCTCTCTCTGTCTCACCCACTGTGTGTGTCTCTCTTTCTCACCCTCTCGATATGTGCCGCCACCTTCCAGTGAGGACACATTGTAGTAAATCCGGGCTGCGGTAACCCCCCCGTATCATTTCCGGAGGCTATGGGAAAAGGAAAGCAGAGGAGAGGGATCAGGTGAGTGAGTGAGTGAGTTTGATAAAAAGAGTGAGAGAGAGAGAGAGAGAGAGAGTGAGTGAGTGAGTGAGTGAGTGAGTGAGTGAGTGAAGGAGAGCGAGGTGGAAGTAGAACGCAGGTTGGGCTCCTCGCTCTATGTCTCCCCTCTCGCTCTCGTTGGCCGCTCGGCAACGGAGCCACAAACTTGGCTTCGCCGTCCTCAATCTCTTCTCTGTTTCCTATCGTATTTTTTATGTTTATGTCTGGCCCCTCTCCGGGCTCGTGCTGTTGGCGGGGGTGGGGCGGTGGCGGTGGAGGGGCGGGCCGAGTCCACCTCTCATCAGCAGACATGATGAGGTCTCTTTCAGCACCTGTACGTGGAGACGTTAATTCTCGGAGCGTTCCGGTCTACCGGGCGTGTTCGGCAGTGGACACTGTAACGAATTCGTACTCTTTTTTTTTTGGTTTTAAACTATCGCTGAGGAGAAAACTTTTACTCTGCAAAGTTTTCAATATTTGAAATTGCACATTAATCAATTCTCTTCCTTTTTTTATTGGTAGAAAACATCGATGAAAACTTTTTTAGAAAATTAACACGCGAAACTAAATTAAGGCCTTTTGTTTTTTTGTTGCTTATAAATTCAAAATAAAAGAAAAAGTTGTTTTCGCCTCTTTTTGGACATTTCTGACTGCGAGTGTCGCCCCCGCCTCTGCACGCGCGCACCTCTGTGCTGTGCCGCTGTTTGCGCTCGTGTGTACCGGCAAGCGGGCTGCGTGTACAGATTCACACGGCGAGCGGTCCACTCCACGTGTCGCTCGGGACGAGGCCGAGGTGAAAGCGCCACTAACAGCAAGCGCACTGCGCCCAGTAAACGGTTTCTTTAATTTTCTCCGCACTTGACAAATTTTCTAGTTTTTAAGAAGTTTTTGTCGCACTGAAAGGAAAAGGTTTCCTTATCGCCATTTATTTTGGTCGAAATTTCCTTGAATCAAAGAAACAATTTTCTGAGTGAAAAATACAGAAGCTTACTGCGTGTCAAAAAAGCCATTGTGGTTGTCACTCGACTTTTGAAATCTGTAAAAAGAACACCTCATTGCCATATTTTATACATATGGGATCAGACAGAATTAACGTATGCCCGGTTTTCTCAGTTAAACTGAATGAATTCATTCGGTCAAAGTACCTGACCTCAGCGCCCAAGAGACTCGGGGTAGGCCCTCCCGCAGTACACATATGCACTGCACGCAAGATGCCTGCCTACCTATCAGGCGCTATGAGAGCATGTAGATAGGAGGGATGCACTGGGCAGGATCGAACGGGCGAATGACGGGCGTACTTTTTGGATGATCCCCTCTCGAAAGGGAAAGGGATTAAAGTGCGTGGTTTTTCCTCTCTGAAAAAAAGAAGTATGAAAAGATAAATCGTTTTTTCTCAATTTTTTGGTCCAACATTAGCGGCCTTCCTGATGAGCACAAAGGCCGGGAGCCACTCCTCTTGATCGTCGCCCTATTACCCCTTTTATTCGATGAGGAGCAACGCTGCTATCTCACGGCCTTTTGACGAGACTTTACTCCCCCCCCCCCTTCTCCCTGCGCCTCTTCTTGCCCATTTCCCGCCTTTCTTGCCTTGCCACAGCCGCCGCCCGACCACCCCCACCCCTCTCTTCCACTCTAACTCCAGAAGAATGCCCCCTCATGACGCGAGAGCAGAAGCAGCCCAGTTGGTCGGAAAAGTGTGAAAAATGGGAAACACAAACACTCTCGAAATAAAGAATGTAAACAAAGGCGTTTTGTTGTTTGAAAATTTCGCGTTTGTTTCAAAGTGACCCCCTTTTATGTGAATAAAAACGTGGTAGCACGTCAGTCCCAAAAAGGTACTGTATTTTCTATTAACAACAGTCAGCATCTGCCTACCATGTACACAGATAAACGAAGTGTACAACTGATGAACACTTGTTAGTGTGCAACTGCAAGATAAATACTTGCAAGTGTTTAACTCGGTAGGTGTGCTTTTTCAAGTGTACAAATCCTCGGTTCTTACATTGAACCCTTACTGTGTAGGAAATGCTCAACAGAGGAGTAGCGCACTTGCAGGTACACAACTATCGATTTGAACACTTGCAAGTTTTCAACTTGCAGGTGCACACTTGCAAGTATTTAACTCGCATTAGTGATGTTCACGGGCTGCATTTTCAGGAGCACGGCGCGTCTCTTGACTGCGGTTGGCGCAGTCCTGGCCGGGCGGGGGAAGCTGGAATGCCCTCTCTCCTAGTTTTAAGGCTTCCTCGCATACATAACACGAATGCCAGTCGCGGCTCCCTCACCGCTTCACCCGCTCACCTCCGGCAGCTTCTCTCTCTCTCTCTCTCTCTCTCTCTCTCTCTCTCTCTCTCTCTCTCTCT